GGATATATATACACCTCCCCATCCATGACGCCCGCCGTCTGGGTATAAGGGCGCCTCCAGGTTGGGTTAGACCTAGGGTTAGATTTAGAAGTCAGGAATAGGGATGCGGATAGTCACGTAGGTACATGGATAGATAGCTTGGGTAGGCGGGATGGAGGATGAAGAGGCGACGAGGGGAGGGGGAGGGTGTAGGGAGTGGGAGGGGTAGGAGAGGGAAGAGGCAGAGAGAAAAAAGCTGAAAGGCAGCCCGGGGATAGAAAGTACATGTTGGGTGGTAAGGCGGGAGGGCGCCGTGAGAGGAGGAGGCGTAGGGATACAAAACGCGAAGGCAGGTTCGTAGCCGAAAACTAAGTACCCCAGGACCACCTGGGTACATGTAACGTTCCGATCGCAAGGGGTAGAAAAGGTTTTAATCTTCGAGTGGCGAAGGGAGTGTCGCGGAAACCACCTGTTGGGGTGGTGAATCCGCACGTAAAGCCCGGCCCTCCCCCACCCACCCACTCGAGCCCCATCGTCATCTTTCACGAGCTCCTTTATTTTCGGCAGTGAGTTAATTTCCGAATATACGACGCGCGGTTTTCGCCTGTGGGCTTGATAGCGCGGGCGAGCGCGCGCGGCTTCGGGTAGCTTCTCGAATGACAGAGAGTGGAAAATGTGTATATATAGACGAGCGGGAAACTATCGAGGGAGAGAGGGGGAGAAGGAAACGTGTTTTCGAACCGTAGGACCACGAGAATGTTTCGAACTTTTCACCTTTTTCTCTATTTTTTTTTTTGGAGGGGGGAGGGGATTCCTTTTGTCGCCGCCTACTCGCGTGGAAGACGCGGTTTATACAATTGCATCGGTTGGGTAAGTGATGAAAGTAAATCATGGCATCGACGTGTGTATTTACCCGGTGGTTTTAATTCCACGGTCGCCTGTCTCCTTTGCCTTCGATTTTTACGTTTTCCTCCCGTGGCAACTGAACAGGAAGTGTTTCTTGCCGAGGTACCTGTCGCCGGAAGGACCCGAACTCGAGGTGTCACGGTCCGTAAGGGCCGTGAGAGTGCAGGACGATAGAGGTGGATCCTTTCTGGACACAGCGGAGTAGAGCAGGGCAGGCGAGGCCAGGGAGCAATGTCCCTTCGAGTCATCCCCTTCCTAACGTATGTGTAAAGTATGCACGCCGTTACTCGCCTCTACGGTTACTGACTCTTTTTATCGAACGACGGAATCTTCTACGATTCCTTTCTAACCTTCCCCTTTTTTCGAACGTTAACCTAACCCTCTTCGCCTCGCTGTGCGTTTTCATTCTTTTCTTTCTTTCTTACTTTCTTTTTTCTTTTTTCTTTTCTTTTTCGAAAAAGCAAACGCTATACCTGTATAAATTCTCGTCTAACAGAGTACGGCGTGATTCTATTCGTGAACAAGGCATGATCGTTTCAGGCAACAATCTTTCGAGCAGTACCGTTATCCACTAGTTATAGTTTAAGTACTCTGCTTACTAATCGGTTAGTTTTCGTGAGAATCCGCTGTGAAACGGAATATAAGGTTAAACGACCGAGGGAGATTAAAGAAAGAACTGGCTAAGGCGGTTTCCTTCTACTCGTGGTTTCTTCGAATATCCTTTGTGGTTGGTAATGGATAAGGATATCTACGTTTGTTTCAACAGGCTACTGGTATTTTGAACTCCGAAACGAGCCACGTTCCTTCCTTCGTCCACTCTCTGGTTCGTTGGTGTCGTGCCTTTGGCGTGAGGAAACTCGGTGAAATCTCAACGTCGTATCTCGCCCTTTCTATTTGCGTTGACCTGAAAAAGTTCAGCGTTGACCCTAGGAGGAGGAGGGTCGCTCGTCAATCGGCACGGGGAACCACTGTACTTTCCAGAGCAAATAGGAAAAATATCGTTTACGCCTCTCTCAGGGTGTAGCTGGCTTGATAAGATAGTCACTGGCTGTCGCAGCGCGTGTATGTATACGTGATGTTAAGGAAGGAGATAGAGAAAGAGACATGGTTTCGTTCTCTGCTGTAATTCCTATCGTGTCGTTTTTCCACACTACCTTCGCCTGCATCTCCAAAAGCACCGATTCCTCGCCTAGACGCTCTGTAATAAAAACTCGCGTATCGTAAGCAGGAGAAGAAGAGAGAAAAGAAGAAATAATACCTCGGAAGAGTGTGTGCGCGCCGCGATATTATTGAATGACGAAATAAAAAGAAAAGGAACGAGGAACGCCCTATATTCAACACATCTTTGTCTGTCTTTCCTTCTCTTCAATGGTCCTAATTAGGTACATACATTGTACACATAAGGCTGTATTGCGACATACCAGTACCGTTCCAACTGGAAACCATATGCGACGGGGGGTTAAGTGTCGTCTTAACCTCCTTTCGGTGTTTGAATTCCTAAATCGACTCCGATACTTACCTAAAAATTAGCCGTATTATTTGTTCAAAACTCTGTCCTAATATTCTCTTTGTAATTAGAACTGTCCGCTTTTCGTTACGTACAACGTTGTATTTTCGTTGTTTCGATAAGGTTGTAACACGATCGTCTCAACTAACCAGCTGATTGCATTCTTCGTTCGCGACAAAATTCGAATCTAGCCATGCGTGGAAAACGTTTCACTTCTCGTATCGACCGTAAATCTCGACGAATTTTTCCGAAAGTTTTATTAGAAAGTGTTGCAACTGTCGATACAATCGTACCGTAACCTGTCACCCTTGACCATGTGATTAGCCACACTCCACCTTCGACGCCGGGAAGATAAAGTGTATGTAAATTATAATGTAAATTCACATGTGCTGGTCTCCATAAATTACCGAGCCAACCAGTCTTATAATTTCCGTGTTCACACGTTGCGCGATCCTCGAATAAAAAAAGATATCACGATTGACAATTTTCCGGTATGTCTGAATGAAGTGCGCGCAGAAAAATTTCCATCGGTCGGAGGTGAATTTGCGAATCGTCGAGGGAAACGACGTGAAACAACGAAATAAATATTTTTCCCAGGCAGTTATTCTCTGTTAAACGAAATGTAGCTCAGCGTGGTATTGAGATCTAGAGAAATTGAGAGCGCATCCCTGATCTTAATTATAACATTGTGGTCATAGCGGTGGCAGGCAGAGAACCGCGCAAGTGGCTTTTCGAGTATGAAAGGATCGTTGTGCCATACATCTAACGGGGAGCCCACGAGGCCTAAAGGCGAGGCAAGGGCTTGGCTTTAGCTAAGAAGTCGGTTGGCCGTCGAACGACGTTGCTAGCCGTTTCTCAACCCTTTCGTGGTTACGTCACGTTAAAAAAGCTATTTGGGGTCAACACCCCGCTGCAACGACACGTGTAGTACTCCTCGACTCTGTCTCTCCGCGTCCTCCCTCGACCCTCTCTCCACCGTCCTCCTCTTTTCCCTGGTATATGAAGGCAGCCGTCTCCTCTCTGCCTCGCAACTCCGGGACGCCATTGCTGCCACCTCCTCCGATAGTATCCCTTCTACTCGCCTTAGTTTCCACTGGATTTCTAACTTCCCTAGATACTAGCCAGGCCCTGTTCTAGCCGCGAATCAAGGAACGACGACGACGTTCCATGGACATTTCGGCGGGGGCCGAAACCGAACGAATGTACACAGATTCCAAGGTCTGATCGAACAATCGTCTAACTACTAACACCCTGTTCATTCCGTCATACCGTTGTTACATCATACCATTCTTTATTAGATACTAGGGAGTAATATCGACAAATAGGATGACTATGTATAAAATGAAATTGTCGAGAATTTCATGTCGCTTGCGTAGAGAGGGAGAGAGAGAGAGAGAGACACTCCTTCCGTTGTAAATTAGGAAAAACCGTGATTTCTGATAAGATAACGTATATCAGATCAGAATAGAGATGGTAAGAAAGAACAGTTACGCGATGTGTCATTCGTCTGTAAGTGATTGTAGGTTTCTTAGATAACCGAAAATTGATTATATAGATGTTCAAGAGAGAAAGAAAGAAAAACAAAATTCGTCCTATTCGGACATATGAGAAGTATACGGTGTGCGTGTGTGTGACGCGGTATGGCAGGGAGGCCATGAGATTAGAATGGACGAACGCAGCCCCAAGCGATACAGCCCTGGCCGTGGGCGCGCGAGAGCAGTAGGAGAGCCAACTGTGAGTTTCTCCAAACGCGCAAGTCGGCGTAGTAGAACTAGTACGTTACTCTTGCTAGAGCGAAACCAAGGACACTAGAAGAACAGCCAGAGAAGCAGCAGCAGCAACAGCAACAGCCAGCAAGCAACCAGCAGAAGCGGTGGCGTTGTTACGGTGGTGGTGATAGTAGCGGTAGCGCTTGGCCGGTAGCTAGCCAGAGGAATCGAATGATCGTGGCGGCGGCGGTAGCGAACAGAGTCAAATCATCGTGGCGGCGTCGTCGACGACGACGGCGGCGGCGGTGGCGGTGACGGCGGCGATAGCTCCCCTTTACCCCGACCCACGTTGTCTATGTGTATGTCTCTACCTCTTTATCCCGTCGCCGCCGGTACCGTCCCCGCCGTGCCTACCGCCCCCACCCCAGCTCCGCCACCGACAGACGATCCCTCCGTTCCCGCGTGCTCCGTTCTCCCCTGCTCGACTCTGAGACTCTCCGGAGCTTCCCCTTCCAGCGACTTTTTTTGTCCGTATACGCCTCGTCCATCGCGACAAGGCAGCTTCCAAGCCTTTTTATCAGTCGACCGAAAAGATCCGTGGGGATCCTTCCGCGGTAGCGCCCCGCGTATCGTTTCAACCAACCCTCGTGTGTTGGATTACACCATTACCTCGTGTATACATATATGTACATATATGTGTATTTCTAGTTCCGAAATACCAGTTGAATTATATTCATTCATACATTTTCCGTGTCTCGTCAGTTTGAAGGGAGTTGGTAATATATATAGTAAGAGAGAAAAGTAAAAGCGCGGGAAACGATTAGGAGAGGTGATTCGATTTATTTGGATGTTCGGTTAAAACGAATGGTATAAATCGATAAAGATAGTGTTATGCCCGCGGTATAAATAAGAACTCCCGATAATGAATTCGTTTCAACATTATTGCAATGGTGTAGAATACGCGTGTCGGGGTAAACGTGTCAAGGTACCGTCAGCGTAGCGCAACGATTCCGGTGACGACACGCAACCAACACACGTAGATTCAACAAGGAAATCAGACGAAGGTGCGTTTATTTCCATGGCAACGTGACGACGCACGGATTCTTAACCACGGATACGCAACACGGCTCGGGGAACGAAGCGGAAGCTGAAGCAGCGACAAACTACTACCAGGATACGCAAATGTGGTTGGTACTTGTGCATTTGCAGCTCAGAACTTGAGAAACGGCCTCGTGGCGGAGAGCGGCTGTCTTGTTCTATCTTGCGCCGCTGCTTGTCGAGTCTGTACAGAAAAAAGTGCGCAGACGCAAATCGCGGTTGCGTGTATAACTCGCAACACACCTCCTCCGCAGTCGTCTTAACACGTTCGTCAATTTCTTTTTAGTTCTTCTCTCGTACGCTCAACCCCTCGAATTTTTCTATCCGATCGAACTCTCGAACGAAATGTTATTATAACCTCTTATACTACTCTTATATGTACGTTTAAACGTATATATATATATGTATATCGGTTGTTTTTCAACGTTCCGTTACTCAATAATACTTTTTCAAAGTTTTTTTTTTGTTGAAACCACACGTAAAGTAGTTACCGCGAGAGAAGTATAGAAACTGATTAAAAGGATAAACGTGACCGTCGTATCGTGAGTCGGTAAAGTAATCCGTATGGCTCCACTTTAAAAACTTTACCAGAATGCCCCTTTAACCCGCATTTTCCTTTATCGAAATAATACGAGAAGCGATAAGCGACTGTCGCAACCGCTGGAACCGCGCATGACGACGTCAATGGGTAACAACTTTGCAAGTAGTTGCACGAGCTCGTGGCGACTTTGCCAGAACGAGTGCGCAGTAACACGACGTAAGAAGTAGCTAGGAGGTAGAGAGGGAGAGGGTGTGTTCGAGAAAGAAGCTCGAAGAACGAGGGCGTATAGGCAAGGGGAGGTGGCAGGTTTAAGAAAAGGTAGAGAGAAGAAGTTGGTCACAAGCGTGAGAACAAAGGGGCGAAAGTAAGTGCCCTTTTTGGAGGGTGATCGAGGGTGAGGAGCAAGAAAGGGGAAGACGAATCGAGAGAATGAGTTCGTGTAGGTTTCGAAGGAGATAAAAAGAGAAGATGACGATTAGAAGGAAAGGGAAAGAAGTCAGGCGATTCGTTCCTTGCGAGC